TGGACTCGATGATCTTAGAGGTCTTTTCCAACCTCAATGATTCTATGATTCTATGATTCTATGATTGGTGGATCACAAGCCAAAGAAGCCAAAGGGCCTTGTTTTCTGTAATGAAGTTGCATAAGCCATAAATCTAGAAATCATGATATGGAATCATGGAACGAACCTCTTCAATCATTCCTCAGAGGGAGGATAACCCTCTGGGAAAGCAAGGGTTATGAATATATATTATAAAATCCACTGACTTATCGGAAGAAATAAAATTGTTCAGATGGAGAGCAAAATTATTGTCCATAAATAAAGAACTAGATAAAATCTAAAAGTTCTTATTCACCTCTGGAATAGCTTATCAGCCTTATTTATTTTGCCTTTACCAAGTCCATTAGGAAATGTATAATTAATGATTTTTCTGGTCGAATTCTACCAATTGCTATCCTCTGGGGTGTATAGCCTCTGCACTCTGGGTGTATTTTGCAACTCTTTCTGTCCTAAACCATTCTGCTATCAGTGCACAGGGACAGTAGTGATCCACTATAATTCATAACAGTGAGAGATGAAATAATCCCTGTCCTAAGTTTCCCACATTGCAATGTAGTTTGTATGACAGTTTAATCAAGAAACCACAGCTGAGAAGCAGGACCCATTCTTCAACACACATACAACATGGGATGCAACTTCAGCAAAGTGTCCTGAAGGAATTATAAACAAAGAATCAAATTGGAATAATTTTGAATATAAGTAAATCTCTCAGTTCAAATTTGTATTTAGCAGGTAGTGGAGGAAAAGGCCTTTTTGAAATGATTTGGGAGGGTGGAACCAGTTTGTTAAAAACAAAAAATCCTGCCTTCAGGTTGTGATCATAACAAAAAATGTCTCTAGGATTAAATTATAGTAAATGTAATAGTAAATAATGAGGGGGGTTTTTTTTATGTGCTAGATAGAGATTTAAAGTACTTAAGGGGAATTTAGAATTTTTCCTCAAAACTAAATTTCTTCACAAAAAAAAAAAATCAATGAAAACATTGTCTTGCAATGCTAGATTCCCAACTGATACCTCCTTGAACATCTGAAACTAAAAATAGCAAAACCTAGTGCCAGCCCAAATTTTCCACTTTTTTCCCCAGCAGTTTTTCAATGAAAACATGAAAAATGAAAACATGGTTTTAGCATGATTTAAACATTGTATACATTCTTGTTTAATTTGCTGAGTTGTTTTACCTAAAAATAATCAAGGAATTCAAAACCAATTTATTGGTTGTACATGCATTTCTTTATACTGTCAAAGGACATATGGATTAGAGATTTAATTTAGTGAAAAAATCGAAGATTAATGAAATGATTAATGAAATCTTTGATTTTTTAAATTAGAGAAAGTATTTTATATATACAAAAAAATTGTTTGGTTTTCTCAGTGTTCTTTAAAAAGTGGCATTTTTGTTTTGATTTGCCAGTTTTTGGTAAGTAACCTGAAAAAAAAAGGTATTCTTAGAAGTCTAGTAAAAAACAGAGGGAAAGTGGCTTTACTAAATTTTCTTTGTCCAACTGAATACAAATAGTGCGTACATAGTTAACATCAAGTTTCAATTTTATCATTCTCTCTCTAATCTCCTTCTCTTTCTTTTTAATAATCTAATAAACTGTTTCACAAAATTTGTACTAAAGTGATAGCGCCTCTCTAAAGCCAATGTACCAGTTTGAGGTGTGCAGTCTACCCACGCATTACTGATTCTAATTATTGTTTTCCTGATTGGTAAAACACTAAGGGTTATGCCTGTGATTCCTGCATAACAAAATTGCAAAGCAATAATGATCCAGTCCTTTTTTCCCCACCTTCTACTCTCTCTAGAGCTACATCTATAATGATCCTATCACATACTACATGATGCAAAACCCCAAAGAGCGAGCACCTCCTTTGGCCCATGCATCAACATCCCATCAACAGCACGCTGAAAATCTCCGTGGGAGGACCTTCAGCCAGCCTCAGCCAGACAAGTTCTTGCCAGAGTCAGAAATGGGGCTTGACCAAAAAACTCTGATGGCTGCACTGCATACGTACATCACTCAGAACTTGTCAGCACAAAGCAATGATAAAAGCTCTCACAGCAGGACTAAAGAGTCTCGCATTTATACTTCCCAAGTCAGTCCTTTTGATGGAACTTTTGCCAAAGGAAAAGCAGAAGATTTTAAAATGAAGAAGCTGCTCCAGCCAAGGCCTGTGCCTGGGGTGCTGGGGCCAACCCCTGAAACGCTGAATCATAAATCTGCTTCCCAGGATCATCCAAAGGACCCTCTGAGTGTAGTGGATGGTAAAGTTGATATTTATTTATTTTAACTTATCTAAAGTTTCCCTCATGTTCATTGAGCATTTTTGAGAAAAAATAAAAATAAAAAAATAGACATTCTGATATATCTCCTACTATTGGCGTATTTATATCTACCATAATACTCACAATAATAATGTTCACCATTCTAACTACCCTTTCCCTGCAAACATCTACCCACATTCTTCAACCCACCTTCCATATGCATGCAGAAATATATGGCACTTAGTAAGACGTAGCATTTAACTTTTTATATTTCCAAAGCATTTTACAAACAACACATAATTGTGGGTATATCTTTGCTGTCAAATCTGGTTTTGTGCATGCATCCCACACTATACATAGGTAATATAGAAATGCCTGGTTTTGTTCCATGTCTCTGTATTTAATTGGAAATTCAAAGACCATGGGTAAAATTCAAAGTTAGACACAGAAATTAACACTGAGATAAATTCTGGTGCAGAACACAGAGGGGGGAGGAGTCCTCAATTATGTGGATAGGTGGACACAGAGTAATACAAGAAGGTGGGGTTACAGCTACTTTTGGCTGGACATTCTATAACAAACAACCCATTTGCTGGATTTTCATCTTTTTTTACTAATGCTGCTTAACTGTGACTGGATCCTGATTTCTTTTGTATGTGATAGTTTGACAAATATTTAAATGAAGATGGAATGTAACCTCATGGGATACTGTGATACACTTTAAGCGCTGCTTTGTAAGACAAGATGGGTCTTCACGTCATGGCTGGGGATCAGGTAGAGTTTAGAAAATAATTCTCATTCATTTTGTTGTTTCTCTAAACTAACCTAACTATTGATGTCATTCCAGTGGTTCAGAATGCCTGAAAAATGAAAGAATTGATCCTCAGCCATTGCCAAGCAGTTACATCTGTTACACTGTAGTCACCACTATCCCAATGGATTTTGGTGATATGTAAGAGGGTTCCTTTGAATCCCTTCTGTAGTTATTATCATCCATAATGTTTGACGTTCTTTGATTTTTTTGTGGGTTTTTGTTTTTGTTTTTTAAAACAGAACACACAGAAATGTCAAAGTTGCAGCAGAGGAAAGATAATGCTTGCAATCTAAAGGATGCACAGAAGTGAAAGCATTCTTGGTATGGTGCCCAGAGATAATAGGTTTCAAGGAATGAAATATAATGTAAAATCAAATCCAGGTGGCACTGTAAGTCTCTTGCACAGGTTAGACAATTTTGTTGCTAGACTCAAAACAAACTAGGCACATGCTGGTTTCATTATCCTCCAGCTGTTCCACTTCACCTTTCCTGGTAGGAGCCAACCAGGAAAAAAATGCTTAACACTTAGAGGCAATAACATGTCTCACAATTCATTGCATTGTACTGCTTTGACTTCACATACATAATGTGCCCTGTAGGAACTTCTTCCATTGCATTAGCTTTTAAATGTTGCATAGACATAAAATTATGAATCATTTGAGTAGGAAATAATATGGTTTCCTTTGTATTTTTGAGCCACTAAATAGTCTCATAAGGAAGTGGTGAGGACAGACCCCAGCGTATTCGTTGTTTAAAGTACTCTACGTTGGAGTGATGATGGTTTGGATTCAGATTTGCCAGGCTGACCGTGCCATCCCTTTCTGCTTTTAACCTTTCTCCAATCTCTCTGGTGCTTCGGGATTTTTGTATGCTTGTGGGTTGTTTCTCTCTTGCACTCTCTAAACCATAGAACTGTTCAAAAACTGGAAAGCATGGGGTGCAGTCACATGAGCTCAGTTCTCTGCTGCATCTGATACAGGATTAGACAAAGGACCTTGACCGGGATAACAATCCAGAAGGTACTGAGCAGGTTAGCACTGAGAATTGCTGCAAAACAGTGGCAGGTAAATTAGCTAACAAGGCACCTTGAGGGAGAGATACAAGAGAAGGAAATGAGGAGCTATTTTTCTATCAGATTTGGAAACTATTACCTCTAGGACTAATAGTTTAGTGGGTAAACTAATAGTACCCACACATGATGTGCGTGGGTACTGCCTTTGTAGTCACTGTGCAATAGCGGAATCGTTAATCTGTCTTCTCCACCAGCCATATTTAGAATTTGGCTTAGTTTTAAGTGATTTGTTCTAGTCTACTCATTTTTGGTGTATTAAATATTACAGAATACATCTCTCCGTTACTTTGGAAAGGTCACAAAATTAGTAATTCAGACGTCTTTTTTGAAAAAATAACAAACTTCCGTGTTTATAGAGAAAAGATATTTTCGTATGTCCTGTCTTGCAAAGCTGTGGTCACCAATCTGTATGGTGCTCAGCTGCTGAGGGTAGCTAATATGTGGTCAGTAGGGTGATGGGGTAGAAGAAGGCAGACCACCCTGTGGGACTGCTCGCAAAGTTACTGCTGCCATACCATTCAGTTGTCAGGCAAGCTGGCTTTGGCAGTTGTGTCAATGGAGTACGGAGCATGATTTATGTGCTGTACAATAAAATGCTGTTTTCCCTTGCTAATTGTTATCTACTAGGGGAATTCTACTGGTGAAGCGGATATTAAAAATTGCATCATCTAAGATACATGTGCCTTTACTATCATGGTTCCAAGGCAACTATGAAAGGCAACTTGCCTTTTTCAGTTCAGAAGCTGGAGCTGAGGGAGAAATCTGGTTTGCAGTACAAGCCCTGTGAAACATGGCTGAGCATTGCCGATTCTATTTAGAAGGGGTCATTGGGAGAGTATAAAGGCTGTGCACAGGTACATGCATGTTCGAGTACATGTGCTACGTAAGTGATGTGCCGTTGCAGTATCCATCTGCTTTTTGGTCTTTCTCCAACAATATTTTCTGATTTTAATAAATTCATAATAATTTCTTTAAATTACGCAAAGGTGTTTGTAAGTAGATGCACTGATATGTAGTTGTGTATCAGCCTTATCCAATAATATGCAAATGATAGACAAACATGGACAAGTGCCATGATAAGAAGTGGAAACGTCAATATTTAGCATGGACATGTATTAACATCATATCAGTAACCTCATGAAGTTAGTAAGACTCTATGTCGACTTCCATTTCACCAGGCTGTTATAGACATTTCAATGACTGTTCCTGCGACTATACTGAACACATGGTGCTCCTCATACTTGCTAGCTTTGGTGATTGCCTTTGGTCCTTGACATTTTACATCACACTTGTAGTTGTTCAGTAAAGGTAGCATATAATAGCTAAGTTTTACTCACGTTGACACAAGTCTGTATTTAGGAGTTTGCTTGATAAACTGTGTCCAGGTGGCATTGACCAGGGCAGGAATAGCAGCATCACAGGAGCAGGAGGCTCCTCTATAACAGGTTTATTTAATGAACCAGGAGGACCTGCAGTGAGCCTGTTAGTGTGTCGTGGTTTAATCTCAGTCAGCAATCAAGCACCACGCAGCCGCTCACTCACTCCCCCCGTGGGATGGGGGAGAGAATTGGAAGAGCACAAGTCAGAAAGACTCGCGGGTCGCGGGAAAAACAGTTTAATAATTGAAATAAATCTGAAGTAAGGCCTGTGACCACCCATTTTCTCATGTGATTCCCCGCCCCGTTCCCCCATTTCCATTTTTTTTGAGAGTGAGACTGCTTTGTTATTAACTATGAACCTCTGGAAGTGGACTGGAGAGATAAGACTTGGCTAAGGTAATAGATACAAAGAAAAGTCAGTTTGGAAAAAAATTAAATGGAATGGAAATGACAAGGCTATACTGACTGCATGTTGTTGAGTAGCTCAGTAGTTGGTCTTGACAGCTGGCTGTGAAACAACTGAATAAACAAAAATCTAGTAGTGCTACATTAATATAGCTCTTTTAATTATATATGTCCTGAAATATAATTCTCTTTTAAGATTTGGCTTAAGATATTGATATAATGGCCAGTAACTAGCTTAAATAAAATTTAACAGGCAAATGCAGATGCAAATTATTTTTCTGAGGTTCAAAACTTGCTTTCAGCTTGGAAACCTCAGGTTGCTGATTTTTCAAATCAGAATTTTGAGCTACCTTTGACTTGAATCTGCTGCTGAATTCCTGTAATTTGAACTAGCTTTTTATCATAAATAAATGAACGTTATTTGTACAACTTTTACTCAGTGATGCAATCACTTTTATGCTGTTCCATTTGCTGGAATTTGCTTGAAACACCTCCCTATGCATTTTACTAAAAACTTCATAGTATTAATAACCACTCTTTTGAAGTATTTTAAGAATCTTGGTCCCATATTCAGAAAACAGATAAACTTTCAGGACTCTAAGTAACATTAGCACTGAGTAAGCTTGAGAATCTCAGAGTCTAAATTTTGAAAAAATAGTGCTACTAGGCATGTAAGTGTGTTTGAATTTTTTTCATCAATCCAATTTCTTGGTAAGATGTTTCCTAATAGCTTGAAAACCACGGTAACTGAATGACATTCTTCTCAAAGTGTTATGGCTACAAAGCAGGGGCTCTAAGTCAAGGGAAAAGAGATGTGGTTTCTGTTCTGAAGTTGAACAAATCAAAAATGCTTCAAAAGCATTGTAGGAAAGTGAGCGAGTGATCCTAAAACAGCCAGTATCATTTAATAGCTAGGAAACTCATCTGGATTGTGGGAAACTCATGTTCAAGGCTCTAATCAGCTGGCTGCTCTGGGCATGTTCTCTCTTCTTTTGCCTAAAATTGAATGTTAATGAATGATGTTTGTGTGACTTAGAAACCTCTCATTCTTGACATAGATGTTTTCTAAGACTATTCCATGTTTACAAGGGGTTTAGAAATACAGAGGTGG